AACCACTGATCAAAGCCCACGGATCAATGGCCATGAGTACCATTCACAGAGAGTAGGGGAATGGCTGCAATAACACCATTGAAAGATTGTGAAACATGTACCCTTAGGCCCCCTCCTCGATTGTTAAGTGCCAGGATTGCCAGGATTTATACATCAGGAAAACCAAACAACCTTTGGCAAAGCGGATGGTACAACACAGAAGAGCTACCTCGTCAGGTCAAGACTCTGCAGTCTATTTACACCTACAGGCCGGTGGACACTCTTTCAATGATGAGGATGTACACATGTGTACACATGTGAAAAGGTAAAGACCATCTGTGATTCGAGGAGGGGGCCTAAGGGTACATCTTTCACCATCTTACAATGATGGGATTGCAACCATTCCCTCATAGCCATTGATCAGTTGTTGTTGATCAATGGTCACTTGGATGAGTGAACATTTCTTCCACTGAAAACGCTACGTCCAGATGAACAGAATCAACTTTTGGGGGTCAGACTTAAACAATTAGAAATCTAAGACTGTCCATTAAAAATTAAAATTAGCACATCTCTAGTTCTCACTAGAACCAGTAATGTGATGGTTTTGTGGTCCTTTTTTTTCTCTACCGCTTTTTACTGTGTCTACATTTCAAAGATCAAACATAATTCCTTGCATGATATAATAATAGTTACTTATAACAGAGTTGTTGTAAATGATAATAGTCATCTATGTTTCTGATGTTATGAAAAAATGTTCAATTCTTGTTTTAGTTTCTCCTCTTCATTTTTACGCTCCACTGAAACCAATTTAATGCTGGGAAAAGCAGAGAGAGAACAGCAGCCAGGAGAGAAGATACTGGAGCTGTTATCATCAGTGTGCAGAGATGGAATATTACCTTTAAATCACACAGAAGATGACTACGAAGAGATGGAGTATGAGCCTGATTTCCTGTTGGATCTGTACTCTCATGTGAAGGACTGTGAGACTAAAACAGGCTTGAGTGTCCTTCCATCATTACAGTCAGTTTTCCAGTCAGCTCCTGCAGTCTGGT